CGCTGTATTTCACCGGTGGCGAAATAAAGAACGCTTTGTCGGGTTCGAAATCTATTAGACACCTATCGTCCAGCCATTTTGTTCGAAACCATAAAATGTGAACGGTGATATATAAGTATTGGCCCCGTGCACGGTAGCTTTCCAATGACTGTAATTTCCGTTCCGTAGGACTGCAGGAAATAATAAATTTTAAGATCGAGCAGCGAGTTTAATATTCAGATTACTGTAATGCAAATTCGTGAAACGATCGAACGCAAGGTGGGCCCTGGGACGTGGACAGTAATTCACATTCCAGAGGGGGGAAAATTTATGATTTTCAAATCAGATTAACTGCTCAGACATTCGTTTACTTGGTGTTTGTGCGGGGGCCGAGAATGAATTTGCAGTAGAGCATGTCGGTTTCCTTTCATCTGCATTAACCGAATGAAATACAGCGGACTGACGATCAAAGAAAAAACGGAGACTCTATTCTTTGCCCATTAAATTGCTGGATCGGTAATAGATTTATTTCGTACTATTTGTTCTGAACTGGTGTAGATTCAATTTTTTTTCTACCTCGATTGGTTTTTCAAAATTGTGGACAACTTAATTATAGTATGTTGCTTTTGTAGTTTTTCTTTCAATGCATATAAGTGGCAAAGTTCATATTACTGTATTGTTGAAACGTGGAACAAAGTTGCAAAGATTTGAACATAATACCTGTAGGTGAATATTTATTAGCCTACAAATTAAAAAATATTTTATTTTATTTATTCATACGTGAAACTTCTAATGTGAACAGGTGTCACATAACGATATTAATAACAAACTTTTAACTTAAAGGAAAGTTTAAAGCGTGTGTTTTCATGAATATATCATGATATATGTATACATATGTAGAATATATGTATCTAATTCTGGTAAGGTCATTAAGCAAGCATCAAGTTAGGTGTCTCACCCAGTGTATCAATGGTAGCAAAAACAGTTCAATTGAATATCAATTATTCAGTTTAATGGTAATGACAAACGTGTCATAGATTAATATTAATAGTAAAATGTGTTGAATTGACATATATTTAAGAAACGAAAACAGAAATTATTTATGACTCAATTTAATAATTCTCTTATTCTCTTTACTATTAAGATTCATCTTTTGATTGAATTCTCGTAATAATAATTTCTATAACAATTTCAGTAAATACAATACAAAAACGTGTTTTATTTCACCGTTGTAAATAACTGATTATTCACGCGGGTAGAAAAAGCTCGCGTAAATCGTGGGATGAGCGTATTTCGCCAAGGTAGTTGAGCGGTTTATCCGTGTAAGAAGGAAATACAGCACGGCAACCCGATCTAATACGTGGGCAAACGACGGTTCTACATTTGGAGCGTAAGGAAACCAATTATTATACGCCGTGCAGCGTCGGGGTCTCAGGTGCGCCAATTTCTGCGCAGCATTATCAACTCTGTTACCACCGAATTTCTAAAGCATACTACGACTTCAGAAGCGCGCAGCCGGGTAATAAACAATTACGGCAGATAAGGAAACGTAACTGAAACTACGAACAAACTTGCTCGGTCCAGGGGACTATGTAGTTCCCCGGAAGCGCAAATTGATTAACTCTCGCGACGCAATTAGAGTATCAAATAGGAGATTTGTCTACTGCAATTAGAAACTTCTGTCCAGGCAGATTCTCTGTATTGTAACGAGTAGTAGAGATAAAAAGCATAATTGAAACAGTGAAGTGGAATATAAGTACGTTCCTTGATTGCACTGGCGGGAATTAGCGTAGAAGAAAATTATAGTCTGGGAGATACTCGGTTGTTACACATGAAATATTGTAATTTTTATATTTAACCCTTTCGAGACCCTTATAATACTTAAAATATGAAGGAAAATTAGGCTACGTTTAGTTCAGAAAATGGCAAATATGTATACAGTCTGTTCCACGAGAAAGAGTACGCCAGAACTTTTAAACAGCTAATCGCAGCGTCATTTATCTTGAGGTGTCTGAAAACTTGAATTATGCTCTTTTGTTTAATTTCTGCTTTGTTATCACGCTAATCGTTAGTTTCGTGAAAGTGGACTCTTAGATGGATGTAAGTACGTTTAGCAAACATTTATGTAGGTCGTTCCAAACTTAAGCGATCAAGTTCTCCCAAAATGTCCTGAGTGAAAATAGGAAAATTGTTATATGGAGTCCCGAAAGAATTTATTAAGAAGTTATAGTAAATATATTTAACATGAAGGTAATACTGGGATCTGTATATTACGATCTGCATATGTACGGATGATATCTACTAAACATTTATTATTTAAAATTATAAAATTGACCGGTAGAACTTGCGATGGGATTCAAGTACCAATTTATACATGAATGTATTTACACATGGCTGTTATTCCCACTATTGCATTTATACTTAATGTTTATATGATAATTTTGTAATCAAGTTTCAGCAGACCTACAAGCTTTAGACTTTCCTTCTTATTTCAGTTTGTAGAATATATTCATGAAGTTCGGTTATTTAAATTTGAAACACCCTATAAGAATATTGATTTAATTTATAGCACTTTCTTCAATCTGTTCATTTAATATAATAAAAATTATTCATAAGTGTGATGAATAAAAATACAGGAACATCGAAAACATTCTGAAATTACTTATTATTAAATCTAAAAATTTGGTCACCTGTTCTAAAGATTATCACTAAGTTACTGAAATTTCTTTAATCGATTATGTACCTAAACAATCCCCACTAATCATTTATTTAAACAAGTTTCAGTCGCCACAATATTAAACCACGACTGATTGTAAGAAGAACATTAATTTTAGTATCACGTGAGGCGAAGCTTGTCATTTTTCTAATCCTATTGATACCGGCAAGGATCGACTTTCGTTTAATTAGCGGGAAGTTGTTCCGAGCTTTCATTGAGTTTAACCTATGTTTCCCGTTAAACTAATCTCGCGCAAAATTAATTAGTCGTCGGTTTGATAAATTAATACGCGGCACATTGTAAAAGCGTGTATGCTGTTTCTGTGGGGCGTTCATCACGTCAAATTATACACAGTTTACGAGCTACAAACGCAGAGATGCATCCTTCTTTCATTGGCTCGACCCGTCTGAAGGCGTAACTTACAAGCTAATTAGACGTAAATTCCATTCAACTGGCGGAAGAATATGTTAATACCATGAAACAAAGTCCCATTCGCCCTCGTGCTTTTCTTATCTTTACATTACCGGGCATGACGTCGCTAATAAAATGATATATGGTCTTAGAATTAGACTGCAAACTTTATTGATTCAAGAATCAAATAAAAATTAAGTATATTTTAAGTTAAATTTATTAAAATTTGGTAAATAAAATGTTTCATAAAATGCAGCATACACTCTATATTCTTCTTTAGTTCTTTGTTTATTTTTAGTAATGCCTGTTTATTTATCTTCTATTTTTATTCATTAGTTCAAATGAACATAAGTTACTACTAAAATCTGCAGTCTATTTGTAAAAAGCAAATAGTCTTATCCTTGAATATATCTGTACACAAATTTATATGAGAAAAATAAAAAAAGAAATAATATAGTAAATATGGAAAAGTATTATTTTGAAAATATTTGAAAAAGTGTACTTTCATCGATTAAATACTGCTTGTCGACGATGGTGCTAATTGTTCAATTCCAGACTGTGTTTCAATTTGCTTCATTTCCACAGAGTTATAATTAGACTGCGAATTTTATATATTTGCAGCATAGCCAACTGAAGAGTCCAGGGGAACAAAGATCATTGACCGTTCGAAACTGAGATTTTATTATTATGTGTTAGAAAGTAGGAACAGCTACCTATGGTATAATAACAGAAAAAAACAGGCATAATCCAGAAGAATTAAAGGTCAAAGAAATTTGGGTTCGAGAAATAACGATCAATGCCGTATTTCGTCAATGAAAGAATAATTAAATTTCACCTCGATAGATCAAAGTTTGGAGTTTGGACTATAAAAACAAATTTGATTTTCATAAAATATACGAATGGACTTTTTACGAACATTTAATGTTGTTAAAAACATTCAGACCCTCATTATAAAAAAGGAGAATATGAAATTTTTGATCGTGTACAGTACAGAGGAGTGCGCAAAGTTCGCTTTTCAAATAGGTACTGAAAACTTAACTTTCTCTGTCTATGAACGTTTTTCCTGGGACACTGCAATTGTTTAGACACTGGAATAGTAAGAAGTTTAATAAAATTCAGTCAGATATTTACTTTACTCAGAATCCAGGAAGAGCCCGTAACACTTTGATTACCACATCACTCTATAAAATTTATGCGTAAAATTAATATCGCAGTATAAATCAAAACTAGATCAACTGCCTCTATTAACTAAACGCATATATCTTAGACGATTTATGTCTTAAAAAACGAAATATAGCGTGTTTGGCTACAGAGGACCTTTTTCACTTTGGCAGTCAAAGTTTTAACAGGGTGAACAAATTCCTGCTTGATTCGACTTTCTGAAAATTAATCCACAACAATCATCGTCCGCATAAACATCCGCAGTCCAAGTATCTACCTCAAAAAAAAAAAAAAAAGAAAAATTACTAGACAATAAACAAAAGGGTATTCCGCGTGTCTGCCCGACAACTTTTACCAGAATTTCGAAAACCGCATGCAAATTATAAGCTTCGAGACCCCAAATCCCGGCTCGGTTGTGGACAAAGAAAAGAAAGAATATAAAGTAGAATGGATATGCCAAAAAACTACCCTCGCCGGTTTACTCGTTTAATTCATCCCGCGAGTCCCGGAAAATCTGCCCGTTGGAAAGTCTCGGGAGTTTCCTCGACGAGGTACCCAGCGATCCCTGGCACTAGACCCCCCTCCTCAAAAAAATACGAAATCTCCGTCGGTCGGTGGAAAAGCCAGAGGGTGAATGAGAGCTGCCGAGCAACGACTAAACAACGACACACAACAAGTAGTGTATGGTTACACGCGTAGAGGTATACGAGTATGTGTGCTTTTTGTGACTCACATGGGAAGCTGACTGGAGGATGAGTCTGGGCGTTGTGCGCGTTATGGGGATGTCTGGGGGTGGCGACGCGTTGCCTACAGAAGCATAGAACCGCCGCCGTGACCATGCCCGCCAGGCTCAGTATCAGAAAAACGAGGGCGACCGCGAACCATGTCGCCTGCATGCCCAGGATCGTCGATGCCTCGGAGTCTGAAACAGAAACGGAAGTTTATCAGTACATATAGCGCTGGGATATACAGAGTGAGTCACCTCAAATACCTTTCTTGTTTTTAAAGATACGTCAAGTGTCTTATATGTCATTATTTTAGAGATATCAAGGTCACCTTCATTTCTTTAAACGGAATCACCCCTTTTTAAACACCTACAATGATTGTCCCTTTCCTTAAAAATTCAGTGACTATAATTATTCAAGGTCATTCAAGGTTACGGAAAAAAGGGTGTTTCCATTTTACAAAATGAAGGTGACCTTGATATCTCAAAAATGAAAAATATAAAAAAATCAAAGTGTGTCCAACCGATATGTCCCTTAAAATGCTACATAATTTACAAAGTGTTTTCTGGTACAATCAATACGTAATGAGTTATTTTAGATAGTAGTTCCTATTGGCTTACCCTGTATACAAAATATTATTGTTGAATTCTTGGAATTTAATCGATAAAATATTGATTGGAATCATGATCTTTGGTTACGGAAAGGTATAATACAGAACTGAAAGCAACTCTCCAGTAATTGTTGTTCGTATTCTAGTGATTAAAACACCTCAAAATTTAGTATCAAGTAGAGTCGTGATGTTAGTAATTAGGAAGTAAGGCAACTGGTTTCTGCCATCTATAGCTAAATTGTATTTCATAATTGTAGAGGCAAGAATTATTTGTGGAGTGAAAAAATTAAATTCGTCAGTCGCCAAAAATTCCTTAGAAATGAAAAATGAATCACTCCACAATAATTCCCTAGATATGAAAAATAAATGACTCACTGGAAAACAACGGGTGTATGTTTTCACTATTTGCTAAGATGAGGCACTCCGCATTGTCGTCTATGTAACCAACGTCTGTTGATTTTTCTTCCATATTACTTGTTTAACAAGGAGAGATCGTTATGAGAACTGGACGTACAGTTTGTACGAACGGAAGTTTATTGGTCTCTGTTCAATATTTGTAGATAATTTATAGTTTTCAGATATCTGATATCTGTTTTCTTTCAGTTACAAATATTGTTAAAATGAATTGGTACATTGCTGGTAATTGGATGTTGAATCAAGGAAACCAATACACATATACAAATATAATAAAGTTTATAATCCGTATCGCCCTTCCTTTTATATTTTTCGATTTATACTTTTCAAGAAAGAGAAACTATATTAAAATATACGAAGATCAATGATTTATTCATTTTCGATCGAAACAAACATAATTTTATCATGCATTACAAAATGAGAGTCAGATTACCATTAATAGAAGTATACTTAAACCACTATACAGTTATTATACTTTAAACAAAAATGTTATTGATTTGTAATTTTCAATCGATCACACTTCATTATTATGGAAAATTAATGGAAAACTTGGTTGAACTAACCATATTCTATATATTTCTAACGACTTTACAAAATTAAGTGCCTCCAAAGTTAAATTTTATACAATAATATCTAGACCACAGTGGATTAAGTCCACTTTAAAAAAAAATGACATTTTACATGTTTCCTGTATCAAATATTTCACTCAATCCATTGAACGTTATTACCACACTTTGTGGAACATACTGTATTTATCGTGACGGGTTGCCACACTTTTTCAGACACTTCCGATGATCTGACAAAAAAGTGTTATGTACAGTCATTAATCAGTATTCAATCAGCTACAAAGTGGAATATTAAAAATTGCTAAAAAAACTTTTTCTTCCATAAAAAATCAAGGTCACCTTCACTTTTTTAAATGTCATAATATAATTTTTTCTATTCCGTATTGTAGATGGCATCGCGACTAATTCAGTGGTATCATATAAAGTAGTAATTCCTTAACTAGTATACTTAAAAAAAACATTCTTAAACTTTTCAGATTTGAATTATTTCTTTCAAATAAAAACATGTTTGTTGCATATAATTATTTCTTCGATTCGACAATTTAATTATTTATAAATTACGTTTGTAATTGTTTTAATTTATTTATAAAAATTAATGGTTCTAAACGGAATCCAATTTTGTAAGAGTTGTTCTGTTTTAAAGGGTGTACGAATACTTTTTGGACCCACTGTAAATACTTTTATTTGCAATTTACGTACGAGGTCGCCGTTTCAATTTCGATTTGAATGAAAAAAACGAAATATTAATAGGCGAACAAAAAAAAAAAAAAAGAAGAAAATTGGCCACCGTCTAATAGCCAAGCTACGGAGACACATCCGTTTTCTTCCAGGTGGCTCCGGGCGCGACACGATTAAAATAGCAACGGCGGTTCAACTTCCTGTCAGACGTCAAGTCGACTGACAACAGAAGAGAATTAATTCCCCAGGGCGTTGTGCAATGTGTTCGGGCCACACAGCCAACACAGAAACCGCCCTCGGAGACGTGCACGCAGTTTCGTTGAATCAGAGGATCGATAGCGCGGGGCATACTCCGCTTTTTATCATTACGGGTCGCGACATGCCGTGGCTTCGTGTAAACGACAAAAAAAAAATTTTGAATCGAAACTGTGTTGCTTTAGCTGGGCTTCTCTAACGGCAAATCGATGTTTAAGTTATAGTAGTTCTTCGAAACGAAAATAAGAATCAAATTGAAACTCAATGCTCAGAAAGCATAGACGGTGACTATTAGGTTCGTTTGAAGGCATCTAATCTTTCTATTTTCATCTGCACAGTCGTTCAAAAATCTGGACTCGACTGTGATGAAATGATAGTAAATTTAATGTCGTAGGACAGTTATAATGATATTTCAGTAACTTAAAAAAAGTTAAAAAATTACTGATGGTTTTTTTTTTCAAAATCGCAGATAGGGCATGTTTTTTTGTAGTAACTTTCGCTTTAAACATTTATCAATACGACGATCAGTTCATAAACCTTCGTAACATGATACTTTACTCATTAGTAAATTGTAAACTCTGGTCCATTTTTAATTTTTATATATTAGTATCTGAAATTCTGAATTTGCATAAACTTTCGCAGACTAATAACACAAGTACTGTTGAATTTTTTCTATACAATTCGTTCGATAAAACAAAAATAATTTCAACAACTCAACAGTTTCCCACCGTAATTATAATTTGCATGTCGACTACAATGTCGAAGAAGCTGCTAGCATATTTCGTTTTAAATACGATCGTTCATTTTCCGCGAATTCGCTGCTGAAACAGACGGGATTGGGGGATGGTCTCTTAAACGAATCGTTTGGTAATTATAACTTACTGGCACAGAGGGTGGAGATAGCCTCGTCAGAACCATCGCCGCAGTGATTCACACCGTCACAAAGGAGGTCCGTCTCGATGCAGAACTCCTTCTCGGTGCACCGGAAGTCCTTGCAGGTGTGCTCTGGAAACGAAAGAGAAAAAAATTCCACGTTAAACTGTCGTCGAATAGGGGGAAGCAAAGAATGGGGCAGAAAAAATCGCGGGTGGCAGTTCTTTGGACAAGTGCATCGGCCTTGCGAAAGGGTTACGACGCACCCCTCGAGTCGAGGGCTCTTCGACAGGTGTCGAGGCTTCAACGACAGGCCAGTTTTGAAACACGCGTAGCACTTTTTGGCTCCCCCAGGTAATTTTTGTCGCGCTTGTACCTGGTGTGCTCGTGTCTACACTCATTTTTCCATTTTTAGATAACTCCAGCTTAAATCGTGTTTTTTCAGTGGGCTCAAAATGAGTTCTAAAGGAACTTTGAATACTCTGGAAAAGTACAGGCCGTGGTCGAATTTGTGGTATTATTTGATTAGAATTTCAGGGTTGAAGAGACTATGGAAAGTGTTTTAGTTATGCAATACGAAATAAAAGAAATCAATGATAGTGCAAAATTAATTTTTTGTAAACTTTGAGAAACTCAGATACTAAATTCATGGTAATTAGAACAGTTGGTATTAGACAATTAGAAATGTTGTATTAGTTTACGAACACATTACATAAATAAATGTACTATAATCTTACTTATGTTCGTTTTCTATAGATGTAATAAATTCTAATGTAAATTAGTTCCTGCCCAATTAATTGGTAGGTTCAGTTAATTAATGTATTATGATGCTTCTACTTGATACAAATGAATTGTGTATTGGAACTTGTTACGCTTTACGTATTGTTGTAATCTTATAATGCAGTCAAAAATATAAAGAAAATATATTTCGTTTTCAATTTTATTCTACGGATTCCAACAATGAACATTTATTAATTTACTTTTATAGTGATCTGAAAGTGAGAAAATTTTCTGTTTCCAAATTATTTATTATTACTTGTTCTCAATTAAGTAGAATTTAAATACCTATAAATCTAGTGATCTATGTTTTTATGCGAAAACTGTATCAGGCATAAGTTCGGTTCACCAGAAATTTTCAATAAATCATGAATTATGTTGGAATACAATGCAATAGCTATGGTTCATGAATAATGTATATTTCAATACACACGTGTAACCAATCAATGAAGAAGAAATTGGACCGAAACGGTCGGTGGTATTGCATTAGAAGTCAATTAATTACACAAACTTACGCTTTGACATCAATATCCTTTTTGTTATGTAGTATTTCACTTCATGCAAAATTCCTAATTTAATTAAAGAAAATGTATTGATTGCCGCGTCCTGACCTGTCATATTAGTACCAATAAATTAATATTAATGACAATGTTAGAGGCATCGTTAATATTAATACACCATTTGAATAATTGAGCCGATACCGTTATTGTCAACCACCACATCATTTTAGTAATCAATTTGGTGGCACTACTATTAATGATCGATAAATTAAACCTTACTATCGAATATTCAATTTACTTCGAAACAAAGAGTTTGTTTTTTTGAACAATTACTGAAAACATTGTATTTACAAGATATTGCGAACTGTAATGAACGAAAAATAGATTTATAGTAAACTTTTGACATTTCTGAGGTACATCTGTTATCACTGGTCTTGCCAAAGCATCTGATAAATTAAGATTTACCTATACAGTAATACTGACTTTGTAAGTTATACTTAATTCTAAATTAATATTTTGTTCATTAATACTCATAAAAAATTCAATAACTGGATCATTAAACTATTCCACCATTTATCATTTAAAACCGAACACTCAGCGATAGTTCACACTAATATGAACGAAATTAATGCCTGAATAAGACATTAAAGTCGATTCTTGAAGCTTGGGGCATTGTATTCAATTATGTGAAGTAAGAAAATAAACCAATCTCATAATTGGCCTTTCTCTGTAAACAGCAATTCCATTATCCATTCCAAACGAGTCTTCCAATCCCTGTTTCTTGAGCGCAAAGCTGAATATCAAACAGCTTTATCTTAGATTGCACCATGTCTTTCTATAATACTACCAATATGTATATCTATATTATACATGTATATACTATGTATTTCTAAATCTAGCCGCTTTAAATCTTCAATAAGAAATCCGCATTTTTCATCAGTTCTTTAGCATTTTCCATTTTACACGACTACGACTTTCAACCAAAAATTGGAAAAAATGCACGAACACATGCTTCGGTAATTACCATCTGTCAGATTTTTTACATGCCATTAAACAGGAAAAATAGAGGAAAAACCGCATAATCCGAATTTTCCCTATTACTACCCTCGTAATTAGCTTTTAACACATCGTATGTCTGTTAAGCAGTCAAAAATAAGCGATACGTATTTTTTTTTATCGGCTGAGACGCGACTTCAAGGGGTGAAACCACCCCTCGAAGTTTCGACCCGAAAGTACTATCTCGAAAACCAGCGGAGATACATGAAAACTTCTAATGGACGAGGTTTGTGGCTTTTTCTGTAGAATAATATGATGCTAACAAATTGTCCAAAATATAATTTGTTTATAACAAAAAAATTTCGAATCGTTCATTTTACCACCTTTAATTTTAATACCCTGTATCGTAGTTAAATGAAGAACGGGCATCTACACGTTTTCACTTTTAATAAGGGCTAGGTAGACTACAAAATTGCACACAAGATTTTTCATTTTCCAGTGTTACAGTACAAAAACATTCCCTAGTAAATAGTGTCAATAACAGTGAAATCAACAATTAAGACCAATTATCAATCATTCGAGAACAGTTGAATTAATGAACCGTCAAGATAATAAAAGTATAAATAAAATAGAGCTTGAACTCTGTTCAGCAATTGCCTGAATTCATTTTCCATCGAACGACAGCCACGAATCGTCTCGGAAAACGGAGAATATACGTCGGCCAATCGTTATTGATTGAAGAGCACTGTGGATGATAGAAGCTGTAACTTTGCCCGATCATAACAAAGTAGTCGACGAAAGAATGCAGAGGAAGGGACGAGAAGGGAAGGAGGGAAACGATTCCTCCTCTCGTCCCAGTTCGCAATTATAACTCTCGAGGGTGGTCCGGGAATCGAAGGTAATAAAACGAGAAACGTAGGGTTAAAGGATTGGCGCGAGAGAAATGGCTCGGCGCGGAACCGAAGAAAAAGCGGAGAGTAGAAACCACCGCGATGGCCGGCAAAGCGTAATTTTCTATAATTTAATAGTTGAAATTCTTTCCGCCATTATCTTTTCTCTTCTGCCCAATCCCCGTTCGGCCAGATTCGATAGACGGAAGAGAAAGAAAAAGTTGGCGGAGCGGTGTGTTTCATCGTGATTAAAATGGGATGAACTCGACAACTAATCTTCCGGAACGTTCGAAACCGAACGAAATGAATTCGTCTGTCGGGCATTGAATCATTGCGAAATGTTGGAATTTTGTTAAAATGTTACTAGACCGCGGACTTCATGCGATTCACTGCACGCACGGTTGGTTGAAACCAGAGATCATGGTTTTCACCGTGTATGTATTAAAGATATACATGTACGTACACGTGTAATTAATATATCCATGTTTTATTGGAGGTAGTTTTTAATGGATCGGTAGTAGTCAGCCTACGTTGAAACGAACGTTGAATTGCGGTCATTATACCGATTTTGTTTTCAAATCTTTAGCGTTTGTATCGCTTTCCCTGATTTTGTTCAATTTTATGAAAGTTTAACATTAAATTACGTGTTCATAATTACAATAATTATTAGTGTTAATAGCTTATTTTGAATGATTTTTTACATACTATATTCATTGCCGGAAAATTACTTATGAATATAATACTTATCTTACATGAATAATATCTAACTGAAAAGAATTGTAAGGACAAAGTTTTCTGTATTAAACACTCGTTTGGATTAATTTTAAATTTCTGTGAAAGTATTTATAGAACGCAATAACAATAGATTCTTCTTTTATGTCTATTCCCTTCGAACTCAAAAGAAGCTCGAAGTTGTCGATGCTCGCATGAATATCGTCAATGGGTAATAAAAACAGAACGCGTCAGATTTTAGTGGTAATTAATGCAAAGCCTCTATATATTTTCGATCGACCAGAACTACCAAACTTCAGACGTGAATAGAGTTTTCAGAAGGACTATATTTCACCGCGTTTGCGATTGGACCAACGAAGACTCGCAAGGGGCTCGTTGCCTTTCTGAAGGGCATTATGGACTCTGGAACTACGCCACTTTAAAGTCTAGGAAGGTTTGAGTTTCGAACCTCATAAATTGTGTAAATAAATTAGACCCGAAGGCTACTTCACATTAAACGCTCGTAAATTATTTCATCGACTTTAAATACTTTATATATCTACGAGAAGATTATTTAAATATTTTCTGCTGCTATATTAATATATATTAGATGTTTATGAAGAGTTTCGAGGAAAAAGTGCTTTTGATAGTGTACGTAAAACACGGATAAACGTTATTTGCAGAAATTATAGGAGGTGAAATACTGTTTCGTGGACGAAATTGTAGTACAATTCATTTAGTTTAACAACTGGCTTACACACGTGAAAAAGATTTATGAACCAATCGTAAGTGCTATGCATTCATAATATACTCACAAATAAATCAAAGTAAACTCTGTAGTAAAGTCAAAGGTAGGAAGTTAGTTGTACTTAAGTTCTGTTTTTACGTAATAACACCTACATAGGAACTGTAATCTGCATAAAAATCCACAATTTGTCTGTGATATAGAGTGCATAATAACATAATTTATAAGTTCATACAGTTCAAGGAAACATTTTATGACATTCCTTTAAATATTAAGAAATACCATATGATATAGAGAGTATAATAATTATTTCTCCTAAGAATGATTTACGATCAATTTTACGTTCACACTGCAAACCATCATACGAAAGATTTGGTAAATTTATGAGATACACACATTTCGGTAAAGTTCAATTACAATTTTAGTAAGTTAATACAGATAGTGCTCTGTGACTGTGTGCACAAATAATACAGAATACTCGAAGTAATGCAACAAAAATAAAAAACGCGAGCA